AGCGTAGTATTTACTATAATATACTGCTAACAGCCCTCCAGCTGTTGTGGAACTACAAGTCCCATGAGGCATTGCAAGACTGACAGTTAGGGGACATGAATCCCAGAGGCAGAGGCATGCTGGAATTTGTAGTTAAAGTGACACTAAACTTAGGAGTTAAACCTTTAAAAAAATATAAGTACCTTAACTATTAACAAAAAATTTACTTTATTTGTGTATCTGTATTACTCAGATGTAGATCCTCAAATCATCTCTGAATTGGTGATTACACTGACCTTCCTTCTGGAGGGTGGCTACTTTTGTTCCTCATGGTCTCTGTGTGTGTTGTAACGTAGTCACCACTCCAAGCTCACTCCTGTGATGGACTACAATGTTATGTTTAATTTACTCATTTTTATTGAGATTGTAGTCCATCAGAGGAGCGAGCTTGGAGTGGTGACTACGTTACAACACACACAGGGACCACGGGGAACAAAAGAAGGAAGGACATTGTCCGTATGAATTCGGAGAAGATTTGAGGATCTACAGCTGAGTAATACACAAATAAGATACAGTTTTGGTAATAGTTAAAGGAGAACTATGAGGGGAGTGCTTTTCACTCACCTCATAGTTCTAGCCGACCTGTGACAATGAGACTGTCACAGGTCGGCTCAGTAGATCGGGAGGTGAGCGAACACATACCGGGTTCGCTCACCTCTCGATCCTGTCACGGCTCTCTGCCGTCGTGACAGGGGGAGGGGCTGGATTCCCCTCTCCCCGCTCCGATCTGCCAGTGCTGACTGGCGGAACGGACGGGGGAGGGGGCGGGTACAGCTGGCTCTGCCTCTAGATAGGCAGAGCCAGCTGTCACTCACGCAGCTGGGCGGATCCCGTCATCTACGTCGGGATCCGCTCCGGCTGCGGCGTCTCAGTATACCGCGAGCTGTACCTCGCGTATACTGAGCTTAGGGTAACGGGAGGACGCTAGTTTGTGTCCTCCCGTTACCCTAAGGAGAACCATGGGGAAAAACACTGACCCCATAGTTCTCCTTTAAGCTACTTGAATGCATTTTTTTAAGATTTAAGTGTCAGCTTAAAGTACTAGGAATGGTCATAAATATACTTTTCTTTCTAAAGCATTGTATTTTCTGCACTGCTAACTATAAGACAAATACCTGCAAGACTAATATGGTTAAGCTGAACTCTGGGAAAAACTAGTTTAGCTAATTTGCATTTAATTCATTCATGTAGAAAATGAATTAATCTTAATGATGTGTCTGATTGGTGGATGGCTGCTGTGTTAGGTAAAAACTCTACATTTCTTTAATTCCAGTTCTGAAGCTTACAGTCCCGCTCTAACAAAGTATATATAGTGAAGGAGAGCGGGTTGATGGTCCTCTAGCTCATCCATTCAGAAAACGTTTTGCATTCTTTTCACAGAATAGGTGCTCTGTGATTGGATGAAGGGAGTTCATGCTGTTCATCCTTCCAGCATTTTCTGCACTGTATGTACTATGCTAGAGCTAGAACTGTAAATGCCAGCGCTGGATGTTTAATGCTTACAGTAGTGTCAGAATTGAAGTTAGTTTTTACCTAACAAAAGTGCCAGCCACCAATGGGGCACATCATTAGAGGTAATAATTTTAACAAATGTGCAGCTTTAGGGCTCATTCAGATGGTCGTAAACATGTGTACAGCATGCGAAAAGACCCAACCCCATAAGAGACAGGTGCTGCATGTAATTCTGCACAGCAGCTGTTTCCTATGGGAGGATGCAACTGCACTTAATTAAACGCAGTCATGCGCACACCCAAACCTGTCAATCTGCGCGGGTCAGGGTTTCTACACAAGGACGCAGACAGTGTGTGTCCAAGTGCAGGCACCCAGCCTTGCACATATGTGCAGGTTTGGGTGTGCATGGAATTGCGTGTAGACGTGCACTCCCATAGGGAAGCACCTATCTCTTCCAGGCTTGAGTCTTGTTACGGGTGTGCACGCTGTTAGGGATGTGTACGCCTGTCTGAAAGAGCCCTTAAAATGAAGGTCGAAGTTTTACATTTTTACACACATAGCATACACCAGATATCATTTATATACAATCACACATGCTGTAGAATAATTACAGGATGGATAGAAGGACCCTGTATTTCTAAACTGTGTTTAGCATTACAGTGTCATTTTGAAATATGTTTAAGTGTTAAATAAAATCTGTTAAATCGTAAGTGAAATCAACACCCCTTTAAGTTGAGTACGTTCTTTTATTTAAGTGTTTGTTTATAAATAAAATAATTAAAATTAATTGACCGTAGTACTAATAATGCTACTTTTTTGTATGTTGTGTGTTTTTGTATTTGACTGAGCTTCTAAATATGGAACAAGCACCATCCGCAGGCTAAAACATGGCACTACACTTTTAATAATATTATTATTATTATTATAAGTAGCAGAGACCTCAAGAAAAAAGTAATTCTCATCTAGCTTCTGGATGCTGTTCTATGTCTCCTGATTGTGTACTACCATCGGTACTGAGCTCTAACTGTCCTATTGCCTAATCTTCTGCCCGGCATCTATTGTCTACTAATCACCCCCTTTGGTTAGTTCCCAGTTACTCCTTCACCTATAGGATTCTAATTCTAAATATCACATCAGGACAATCTGAATTTATTTGCTAAACATGTTCAACAGTGTTCTGAATCTAAAGGCTGATGGAACAGAGATAATGTTGTTATTTTTTGCTGGTGACACAAAATGATGTAGCATTATAAAAACTCAGCAGGATAGTAAGATATTACAGGAGGACATTGACATAATAGTATTGGTGTGACCAAACAACAGAAGAAATTTAAAGCATTTATATCAAAAAATGAAAAGAACTAGGATGAAGTAACACTGTTTGGCACGTTACAACATCCACGGTAATGCACAAGAATATACAAGAATATAATTTACTTACTACAGATATTGATAAAATGGCAACAATTGAGGCGGGGTTCAGACCAGCACTACACCGCACGACACCCGGGAAGCCCGTCCCGGGGCTGTGCGATCGTGTTCAGGTGCACACAGCTATTGCCACGCAGCCCCATTGATTTCAATGGAGTGACATCCGCACGCTAATCGCTAAAAAAATGTACAAGTATCTTTTTTTGTGACACACAACTGGCGGCTTTTTTAGACCCCGTTCACATTTAGCGATTTATCGCGCGGTAATTCCCGCGATATCACGGCAATTTACCGCGCGATATCGCTCTCCAATGCTTCTCAACAGCAGGACCCTTGGGGCAAAGGATCCTGCTGTCGCGGGTCGTGTGTCGCTACAGCAGGACCCTTTTTGGAGCGGATTTAGCCGCGATTCAAGCTTGCTCAATGCAAGCATTTGCGCGATATCGCGCAAAATGCAAATCGCGCGATTAGCGAACCGCTCAATGTGAACGGGGTCTTAGTGTTTACTTGCACAGGCGGAATCGTGGCGGGAAACCACGCGATCTGCCCGGTGCGACTGAGGTGCCATTAGAAAATAATGGCACCCACAGCGCAATCGGTTCACACCTTCTTTCTTAGTGTTTACTTGCACAGGCGGAATCGTGGCGGGAAACCACGCGATCTGCCCGGTGCGACTGAGGTGCCATTAGAAAATAATGGCACCCACAGCGCAATCGGGACTGATGTGAATGAATAGCATGTAATGCACTGCATAAAGCTAGGTTCACACCTTCGCGACTCCTGACCAATTGCCGCACGGTCAGGAGTCGCCTAGGTGTGAACCTAGCTTTATGCAGTGCATTACATGCTATTCATTCACATCAGTCCCCAATGACAAGGAGCTCACAATGTAGGTCTATATCTCATATGCACATATACACTGTAATAAAAGTAAGAGTAAGGTCAATTTAGAGCCAACTAACCTACAAGCATGTATTTTGGAGTGTTGGGAGGAAACTGGAGTACCCGGAGGAAACCCACAGATTTTCCACAACATTTTTTAAAAGATAAAACATGGGGAAATGTATTGCAGGGATGTACTGAATACAGTTTCAGTTTTTTCGATTTTGCTTTTGGTGTAACCCTACAATAAGGTGAGGTTTTCTCCTTAAACATGAACTCCGGGAAGAAGACAAGTTAACCCTTGCAGTGGGGCTACTGCAAGGGTTAAGTGCTTGTTTTCATCTAGGGTCTAAAATAGCAAAGAAATACTCACGCGATCCTCAGACCTGCCTGGCTACTGGACCGGTCCCTGCAGCCTCTATCCCCCCTCAATATCACATCCTATACAGTGTATTAGATACGAGGACACCAAGGGACATTTCATCGCTAGAGTGAAGGAGGAGAGCGGCTGTAGGGACCGGTCTAGAAGCCAGGTGTGTCTGAGGTTCGGGTGAGTATTTATTTGTTATTTTAAACACTAGACAAAAACGAGCACTTCACTGTTGCAGTTCAGGAGTAACCCCACTGCAAGGGTTAACTTTTCTTCTGC